CAAGAAGCAAAAGAGAAATGATGAAAGACTTTGTTGCTAAATGGAGAGTTGGTTCAGCGGCGTACCTCGCATTTGTGCACCCCCACCCTGCAGATGCTGTAGAATTTTCCGCCTATCTAAACAACATTCCAAAACTGGACAACATCGACAGAATATAGATTTTTTCCCTTTACTTAGTTTTGATTGCAAACAAAGAAACTGAAAATTAATAAAGAATTAAAAGTTCATTTTTCTAGCTTTCCTTTCTGCAAAATCCGGAATAACGACATCAAAATCTATTTCTTCGGCAATGCAAAATACTTCGATATCAGTTAGCCTCTACTTTTGTCCCGTTGCTGCTCGAAGTGTATTCGTTTTTTAACCTTCAGTATTATTTGAAAAAGAAAATTCTTTTTAATAGATGATAATTTTCAGGATAAAATATGATTGCCTTAACAAAATATAGATAATATGAAAAAACAAAAATTAATACTTACTCCTAAATATAAAGAATACAATTACGGTCATTTATTTTGATCTGATTATGGAAAGATCAGCAACAAAATAAGAAGATATAAAATATATTTAAAAATAATTAGAAAAAAAGCTTGTTAGTAACAATGTTTTGGATGAAATGTTATTAGATTAACAACAGAAGCATTATGAAAAAATGAAAATAACTCACATTGACTGTGTAACACTCAATGTAAATGTCTCTATATTAATCAAACATAAATTAAATCTAGGTAAAAATGCCACGAGTGGGTCGAGAAGCAAAAATGCAACAAATGGAATCGGGGGTAAAAATGCCACAAGTAAAATGAGCGATAAAAATCCAACAAGTGGAATGAGAGGCAAAAATACCACAAGTGGAATCAGAGGTAAAAATACCGCAAATTGAATCAGAGGTGAAAATGCCACAAGTAAAATGAGAAGCAAAAATCTCACAAGTAGAATGAGAGGTAAAAATGCCACAAATGATTTCATTTGTGGCATTTTTACCTCTCATTTAAAAAAAATGCCACAAGGGGAAAGAGAGGTAAAAATTGTTCAAGTGGAATTAGAGGTAAACTGCCACAAATGGAACGAGAGGTATATATGCCACAAGTAGAATGAGAGGTAACAATGGCACAAATTGAATGAGAGGTAAAAATAGCACAAGTAATTTACAATGCTGCTTCATTATACTAATTCCTCTAAATGCCACCCACCAAAAATTGCCGTCCGGAGCGAAACGCCCACTGGCCCCACATCTAGGCCCGCCACTGGGTTAATCCAATTCGTTATTGTGGATGTCTTATGGAAAAATTGCTTTATTAACTGAATGTAGTTGTTTATTGATTGAATATAAATCAATGTTAAACTTAATATTTTTATCTTGGAAAAAACTAAAATATCCTTCAAATTAATGAACGAACGCAATCAAGCGTTTATAACAAGCAGAGTTTTGTTGTTATCACACGATCAGATTTTTTAACAAGTATCTTAAAAGCGGAAAAACGAATAATATCCACAGTTTGTCCCTGATCTTGACGATAGCTCGGAATCAGGTTAAAAGCGTTTGATCACAGACATTTAGACAATATTTACCTTCATTGGTTCTTTTGTACAAAAACAAGACAAATACAAAAAGAAAATTAATTCCACCTATCGTCGTTAATGAAGCACAAGCAGCACACAGACACACAAATACATAAACACACACATACGCATATGTATTGCTCAAAAACTGCTATATTTATTGGGGAAGAGTGCTCAATAACGATGGTCGCGCTTTTAGAGATATAGAAAGTGTTGAAATAGGAATCATTATTGCATGATGACTGTCAGTTTCACTTCTCAAGCAATCATTTGAGAGTCGTCTTAACATCGTTTGAAGTGTAAAACTGAGTACCATCATACAGTGTTGATTCCTATTTCCATACTCTCCTCTTTTTTTTATATATATATATATATATATATATATATATATATATATATATATATATATATATATATATATACATATATATATACATACATATATACATAAATATATACATACATATACATATATAGATATGCGCGCGCACACACACACATATATATATATGTATGTTATGAAATGGATTAAATCCGACAATTATTTAATAGATTTTCTGTTTATACATTATTTTCATAGATACAATTTATTTAAGTAAATGAACTGTTTTTTTTTTTTTTTTTTTTTAATAAACAGTATTAATTACATTTACTGTGCTGAATGTTCGTCAAATTTCGTAGAAAATATGCGTTTCTCCGACAGGAATCGAACCTGTAACCCCAGTGGGAACCATCATTTGATCTGACGTGGTGTTAACCATTCAAACCGGTAAATGTAATTAATACTGTATATTTAAAAAAAAAAAAACAAAACAGTGGATTTTTATTAAATAAATTGTAATATTATAAAAAATATATATATATATATATATATATATATATATATATATATATATATAAAACTATTTATTTAAAAAAAAATTCTAACATGAATATGTTATATTGAGCACTCTTTAAAGAATAGTAATTGTTGGTTATTGGAATTCATTCCGTATACACCAATTATATACTTGGATATATATATATATATATATATATATATATATATATATATATATATATGTGTGTGTGTGTGTGTGTGTGTGTGTGTGTGTGTGTGTGTGCACAAGGCCGAAATTATATGATTAATATAAAGAAAATTTGTCACTTAGTTGATTGATTCAGTGCCTCTCATTCAGAGTTTCGTAAATGAAACTTTTTTTGTAATCTTTCGGTCCACTCATCAAGAGGTTTCAGATATATATTAGTATATATGTAGCATATGCATGTAGCACTGCTATCACTATGCGCGGCCATCTCTTCGCAAGTCCCACGGCAGTGGAGAAGTGGCGACGTGTGCAGACTTAACCGGCTGGAAGCAAAAAGCCACGAATCTACAGGTGGGCCGCTCAAGACTTATCCTAACGTCGCTACACTGTTCACTGAACAACAACATATTTCGGCAGAGTCTTGAGAAACAAAGCAGCATTTTTTAGGGATGCACTACTTACCCATACCACAATGGAAAGTTCTAGAAAAGATAACACTAAAAAAAGTCTGTTTGAGCAACCAAGCTGGCCAGCGACCTGCGGCTGGCGGAGGTTCACAGTAGTAGGGGTAGCAACAAGAGATACTCAAGTAAGTGTACACAATCAAGGTAGGTAGTTGGAACGTCAGAACACTTCTTGACCGCAAGTCTCGTAATTTAGTCTAGTAATCACCAATGCCGAACTGGTAAGATAGCGAAGGAGTTGGCTCGGGTCGATATTGATATAACTGCACTATCTGAAACTTGACTGAGTGGCTAGAAACAGCTAACCGAATCTGAGGTTGGTTACAATTATTTTAATCCCTAGGGCGAGATACGTAAGCAGGAAGTTGACTTTGGCATTCGTACTGAGTTAATCAGACATCTTGAGCAGCATTAGCGACAGAATCACTACCATACGACCGTTATATAACAGTCTTTTTCGTTTATGCTCCAACTCTCAGCAGTTCTGAAGAATCTATAAGGGCTTTCTTTAAAAATCTCAGAATTGCCATCACATAGATTTCAAAAGCAGATAAGATTCTCCTACTTGACGACTTCAGTGCTAAGGTCTATAAGGATCACGAGACATGGAAGGAACTGGCAAGCATAGGCTTAGAAAAATGAACACTAACGGACTAAATTTTATTCAGCTTTGTCCTGAATTTGAACTGGTCATCTGCAAGTCATTAATCCATCAGAAGTTGTCCATAATGTTATTTGGATTCATCCAAGAGCAAACATGTCCGCGTTCTAGATTACATCATTTGTCGTAAACGAAGCCATTAGGATGATTGCAATCCGAGTCATGCCTGGTGCTGAATCTGGAACGGACTATAACTTGGACATTTAGCAAGCTGAAACTCCACGTCAAACGTAAAATAAGATACATTGGGACAAGGATTCAAAAACGTATCGATGTTTCGAGATTAAAGAACCCTGTTATTTGCCAGGATATCCAAATGGCATTCGAGGATATCAAATTTGAAAACAACTGAAATCAGTTTAAGGCTAAGGTTTACAACACTAGTATTGAAGTTCATGGTCGCAAATAGAGAAAACATCGGGATTGGTTTGATGAACATGATCCTGAGATAAACCATCTTTTAAAAGTAAAAAAAAAAATGATGGACATCAAAGGCTTTTGAGCGCTTCAGACAAGCACAAGTTTAAATCCTTCAAAAACGTTAAATCATCACTTCAGCAGAGAATCCGTCAGCAGTGGTTGCAAGTTCAAAGTGCCAACGATGGGAAGGACCCCAAAGTGTTATATTCCCTGATCAAGCAGGTCTTTGATTCACAAGCATCGTCTGGAGTACTACTCGTCAAAGGTTTGTTCTTTTCAAGTATTCACAGAGAGTATAATGAAATGCTGAACTGAATATTATAAGGATCTTTTTATAAGCGCTCAATATTCAAAAAAGATATTATCAAATAACTTGCCTCAGTTGAATATCATAGATGAGTTGTTGGATCATCCTACTTTGGAAGAGATCCAGAAAGCAATAAAGAGTTAATAATACTGGTAAGGCACCAGATCTTGATAGCATTCTAGTCGAAATTTTGCTTCATAAGACGATAAGCTTACTGTAGATATTCACCGTTCGATTTCGTCTGTTTGGTCACGGATACCTGTACGTCAGGACTGGATTGATGCGATGCTTTTCTTGTTTAAAAGAAAGGATCAAAATCGGTGTGTAGGGATTATCGGAGGATAACCCCGTTGGGTAGTGGGTAAAGTTTTAGCAAAAATTCTACTTAATTAGCCAACAAGATGGATTTGCCGAAGAGTCATCCATGAGACCCAATGAGGATTTCGGTCTGTAAATATGTGCCAGTCATCATAGATAGATAGATAAATATGAACAGACACAAATATATATCTATATATATATATATATCTATCTATCTATCTATCTATCTATCTATCTATCTAGATAGATAGATAGATAGATAGATAGATAGATAGATATAGATAGATATAGATATAAAAAGTAACTTAAAAAAATCATATTTAAGGAATAATTTTGCCCATTCACATTTTTAAATTGTAAGATAGATAAGGCTTTGAAAGGATATGTAGAAACAATACACACGTACTCATGTATAAGTGTAAATATATCGATATAGATTTCTATACAATATAGACTGAGAATAAAAGCGAAAACATTGTATACATTTGGTTTCCACTATAAAAGTGTGTATAATTCTCTATGACAAGATGGTTTATAAACTGCAAAACGAATAAAAACGTTCGCCAGAACAAGGCAGAAAAATCTTGTGTCAAAACGTCATTTTATCATTTTTATTTTTCCCTTATCTTTTTCTCATAAAAAAATTCGAGATTTTCTTTTGCTATTTCTTATGATAGAACAATTCTGCAGTGAAATTACATCTACCTTAAAAAAAGGATTTCATAAAGGGAAAACTGTTTGTAAACATCAAATTGTTGATAATGAAAGCAATAAATTCGAAATTCAAAATTGTTTTCTTTTTAGTGTTTGTCTTAAATATTTTCATAAACTGAAACTCTTTTTCGAAGAAACAGCTCAGTTTCTTTTTTTATTTATCATCTTCTTGGGGTGGGCATTGTTGGGTCTGGTGCAAAATTTTGACCAATTTTGTGGAGGCAACATTTTTGGTGGGGCAACATTTCGGGTCGTTCATTATTGTGGGGTGTTAGACAATATATAGGTATAATATAGGAAACATTTTAACTAGTTTATTCTTCAACCTACTTCAGGTTGATTTCTATTCTTGAGTCTTTTTTCTTAAAGATGTAATTCTATTGCCCGGATGAAAAATTCATAAGAAGGGAATAAAATGGCTGCAACCTTTTAGCTAATACTGATAACATGATTACATGATTTACATTGTTCTGACTGTTGTCCTCATCTTTGTTATCATATTCACAACGTTTCGGTTGTTGTACGCTCCAGCCTTCTTCAAGATGAGGCCGAACAATGTAAATAATGTAAATAATTGCAATACTTCATTACAGAAATATAGACAGATACTGACATGATTTCAAATTTTATGAAAAGTAAACAACCAGTGGAGAATTTTTACCTGTTTGTCATGGAAACGGACAAAGAATACGTGTCAAAAACAAAGAATTCGTTAAACAAAATATTTAAAAACTGTGAAATGAGTAACTAAAATCTGTGTGTGGGGGGAGGGCCACCAGAAGGGAAAATGATTTCCATAGAATAAAAATACCTATACAGTGTAACCCGGATATAAGAGAAACCCGGATATAAGAGAGATTGTCTCTGGTCCCAAATTAGAGCCTGTGTTAATGTATATAAAATAGACCAAACCCGGATATAAGAGAAACCCGGATATAAGAGAGATTTTCTCTGGTCCCAAATTAGAGCCTGTGTTAATGTATATAAAATAGACCCAACCCGGATATAAGAGAAACCCGGATATAAGAGAGATTTTCTCTGGTCCCAAATTAGAGCCTGTGTTAATGTATATAAAATAGACCAAACCCGGATATAAGAGAAACCCGGATATAAGAGAGATTTTCTCTGGTCCCAAATTAGAGCCTGTGTTAATGTATATAAAAATAGACCAAACCCGGATATAAGAGAAACCCGGATATAGAGATTTTCTCTGGTCCCAAATTAGAGCCTGTGTTAATGTATATAAATAGACCAAACCCGGATATAAGAGAAACCCGGATATAAGAGATTTTCTCTGGTCCCAAATTAGAGCCTGTGTTAATGTATATAAAATAGACCAAACCCGGATATAAGAGAAACCCGGATATAAGAGATTTTCTCTGGTCCCAAATTAGAGCCTGTGTTAATGTATATAAAATAGACCAAACCCGGATATAAGAGAAACCCGGATATAAGAGACTTCTTCTCCGGTCCCGACAACTCTCTTATATCCGGGTTACACTGTATTTTGAGATCTTGTCGACTCTTTTCCTCTTGATGATGCGTTAAATTGTTTGTTAATTTTGAATAACGATTACGATTAGAATCTTTACAAAATACTCATAAACGAAATGCTTGCGTAACGGGTGTAATATTTTTTTATTTATCATTTTTATTTATTATTTCTTACACCAGCCATATAAAGTAGTAGAAAAAAAAAAGAAAAAAAACAAAGCTATCGTCTGCGACAGTGAGTCTGTATTAGTGCGCCGCCTGGCAGAGAACTTTCAACACCAGAGTTGCACTCTTGTGTTGAAATCGCTTTCTGATGGTGTTGTGTTCCATTTTTCCGTTGTTGTCTCAAAATTTACGATTAGTTTGTGAAAAATCCACTTAAGGAGGATTAAAATTCCTTGGTTTGTTTTAAGTCGGACAGAGACCGTTAAGTGATGCATACTTTAAAGTTATGGCAGTGTTAAGAGAAATACGTTATTTGTCAAGACCAATCGACCAGGTTTTTTACACTCTGCCGTACGGAAATAAATCATTTGGTGAGCGAGCGACATTTTCAAGCACTACTACAATAAAAGTTTTATAATTTTATATATAGAATATTAAACATTAGCATTAAGGAACAGACACCTATAAAAATATTGACGGTGAAAAAATAATAAAATATAATAACTTAGATTTTAATTAGTGATATGAAATGGTTATGTATCTGTAAGTTTCTGTGTACAATGTTCGGTACATAAAAAACTGTTCATCTTTTTTCTTTCTTTTTTTAATCAATTCGCCCCAAACACGGCAACAACGCCACTAAGACACTAATGTGAGTGAAGAATAGTAAAAAGATTCTGGAAGGAGCCGGAAACCGGATCTTAAACATGGAACAAGAGATAAACATCTACTCATGTTCAAAAGTGACGGGATGAGTATGAACCGGACAAAAGGAAGTATGAAGGATTTGCTCGCCATGAAAAAGTCAGAAAAGATTTTATTTGCATAGTTGGCAACTTAAAAAAGTGTTCCTATTTTCTTTGTTGTTCTTTAAGTTATTTTCGTTGTTTCCGAAACACTCTTCATTGTGAAATTAATACTAAAAGTGGATACTACTTAATCTTTACGATGAAAGGCAGTAGCGTTTCAATCTAAACAAACAGAACTCCATAAAATTCATGTTGTTCAATTTATCCTAATATCCGCTGGCAAAATCTGAGACTAATTCATTGATTTGAAAACATGGAAAGCAAAAATGAAAGCGATCCTCTTAAAGTCCCATATCCAAGTTTCCCTAAAGAATGTTGCACATTCGTATTCACAGTCATTATTAAGCGTCATTGTATTTCTAAAATCCCATCATTTGCATCTTACTTGATGGCTGAGATAAAGAGTGCCCAGTAAAAAAAAAAAAGCGGCTAATTTATTATCAGTTTTATCTTTCAAGAATAATTGACTGTGAATAACCTTGAATAAATTTCTTGAATATTCATGAACTTGAATAATCATTAGCGTAATTACTTTATCCTGATTGGTTTCTTTTATGATTGATTAATCGCTGCTCGAACTTGTGCCTCGTCATTTAAAGGTTATTTGCAAACAAATTTCATCTTTCTTTCTGCTCTTCTCGTATGGCTAAACAACTCACTGATTTTGAGCGTCAAGATATCGTACTCTTCAAAGAAGACCACCCGACGTCGGGATTGACGTAATGTGAAAAATTCCTCCTGAAATTTTCAGTCAAATCAGTCGTCATCAGTTTTTAACAGTTGTCACACGTCTTTCTGAATTTATCACTTTTTTTTACTGAGCACCCTGAAGTTACGTCTCTTCTACAGAAGTCGATTTGTTGAGTTCCGGCGGTAAAAAAGCCAGGATTTTGAATGACAACCTTCGAGGTACGCAGGCTCTCCCCACTTAAATGTTTGATTGGTGCAATACAATTTTCTTATCTCCACTTAACGTTGTAAGACGCAAAGTAGATATCGATATATTTGGTATTTTCAATTTGAAAATAATTATTAACGTTTGTATAATTTTGCTTTCTTCCAAAAAAGAATTTCGTTAAAACTGAAATTCAAATGCAATAATCAAAATGCAGACATATATTCGTTCGAACATATTGTCATAAGATCAAAGATACTCACCTGTTCTTTTTAGTTGACATAACATTGTTATATCATCTTTCGTATATAACTCGCGAAAGAGTCTAGTCTAAAATACTTGGCGCAATTACACACACACACACACACACACATATATATATATATATATAGTAATAGAGTGGGGATGGCGGATCTCAATCATAAAGGTTAGAACTGGTAGAACTAAAGAATGTAGTTTGTCTGAGCACTTTCGATGGAAATAGCGTCAGAACATTGAGAGGCTTGTAACATTTCGTGAGTGAGAAAGAGGTTGTAGCGGGGAAAATAATTTGTCACCCACAGGGACGTGGAGACGTTTTTGGACACTATCGAGACTGGAAAGTGAAGACTAGGCAGCTCCTGTCGATATATGGCAACAGTAGCCGATCTTACTCTTGTAAAGGTATAAGATAGCAGGAGGAGTCAGGTATTTACTGGAGCGTTACAGAGAAGCGACCATTTTTCTAGGATCTTTAGCGAGGGATCGTATGTGCGAGTTCCACTTGAGTTCTGGGTTTAAGTCACAACAGGTAGTAATGGAACGACGCCTCCCTGAGGGAACGATCGGTTATAATTGAATATAATTAGTTTGGTTTTCAAGGTTTTGAATGTAACCAGCCATTTCCACCCCCCCGTGATATTTTTTATATATATATATATATATATATATATATATATATATATATAATTATATTTATGCTCTACTTTTGTATCGAGCACTACTTTTTTAAAATAATAACTAAAATACTAAGGAACTTTGGATTATTTACCTAACCAGTTCTTTCCTATTTTCTATATATTTTTCATATATATATATATATATATATATATATATATATATATATATATATATAACTAATTAACTTTACTAATCTACTTTTTGTATGAATGATACATTGTAATATAAATTGAACTGCACCACATATTTATATATATATATATATATATATATATATATATATATATATATAACTAATGTGCAGCCAATATAAGGCGCAAGGAGAACTCAAGGTAGAGGTTTAGTGTGTGGTTTTTGAAGGATTGTAGGGAAAGACAAGAAGTGAATATATATATATATATATATATATATATATATATATATATATATATATATATATATATATACGTTTGACTTAATCATTATAATGTTACTGATGCTGATGCTGGCGGTACGCTATTCAGACTTTCAATTTTGAGTTGCTCAGTCTCTCTGCCAAATCGTGGATTTCCTCTTCATTTCCCTAATAATTCTGATCATCACGCTTCTTTACTTGATTTGTACCTTACCTCCTCTTCTGGCTCCTCTCGAGCATCACAACTTTGTCCTCTTGGCAATTCGGATGATGCTATAGTATCTGATGATATTTCTTTTAAGTCATTTATTAGAAATGAAACTTTTATTCACAAAACCTCCTTCTGTTACCAGCGTACTGATTGGGATTCACTTTGTCACTTTTTTTTCTCGACGGCCTTTGGGTTAATATTATTAACTTTCCTATTGAGAACTGTGCCACAGGAGTTTCCTCTTGGGTTAAATCCGGTATCGACTCTTTTGTACCTTCTTGGAAATACCGGGTGTAACCACAATCTTCTCTTTGGTTCTGTTCAGCCGCTATAGCGCACAGAAATAACCTTTTCCGATTGTACCAGCGTGATTGTGTCTGCTCGTAGTAATTGTAGACGTGCATTCAAAGAGGTTAAGGCTATGTTTGGTGACAGAACGAGACGCCATATAGCCTTTGCTAAATTTTGGTTCTCGTTACTGTAACAGTGTGTTAAATAAGAATCTTTTATTCTATTTTCACTCAATTTGAGGTTTTAACATCCGCTAATAAAGCAGAATGTTTTGCTCGTAAATTCTCTTCAATATTCTACCTTTGATTTATCTGTAGTATCTTTACCTGCATTTCCACTTAAAACTGAGTCTCTATTGTGTTATATGTATTTAACTTCATCGATGATTTCTGATAGTCTTTCTAAACTAGATCCTCTTAAAGCATGTGGACTTGATGGTATCCCTGCAATAGTCCGTAAGAAATGCGCTTCTGAACTGACTCCTGTTCTCTCTAAACTCTACAATGCCTTGCTGCTTGTTGTTTTCCTGCTTGTTAGAAATCCTCTTCTGTCTTTAAGAAATCTTTGATCTTTGCTTTTTATTTCTTTCTTATAACCTTCCTTTTTCCATTGACCCCTATGTTGTTAAAAGTAGATCTGCTAAAATAAAATTATCCAATATAGATTAATAATGACGCTTAGAGTTATTTTTGTCTAGAAATCATACATCAACGTAGTAACGCATAAACTTACTCATAGAAACATACATGCAAGCGTGCGCTTACATACGTGCATAGGCACACGCGCACAAATACACAAATATTTATAAATGTGGTTTCACCAGAGCTTAAAAAGAATTCCCGGACAAGGCTGTGTTATCTACTAAACTATGAGTATGTGTACTATTAAGACTGTTCGATATCCAATCATTATAGCACCAAAATGTAATTTACAATCTATTTCCCTTCATTTTTCTCGATTTCGCTTTTCTGTTGACATACAGATATGAACAGACTGAGAGATAGATAGATAGATAGATAGATAGATAGATAGATAGATAGATAACAGAATTAGATAGATAACAGAATTAGATAGATAGATAGATAGATAGATAGATAGATAGATAGATAGATATGAATAGACTGAGATAGATAGATAGATAGATAGATAGATAGATAGATATGAATAGACTGAGATAGATAGATATGAATAGACTGAAATAGATAGATAGATAGATAGATAGATAGATAGATAAATATGAATAGACTGAGATAGATATGAATAGACTGAGATAGATAGATAGATAACAGAATTAGATAGATAGATAGATAGATAGATAGATAGATATGAACAGAATTAGATAGATAGATATGAACAGAATTAGATAGATAGATATGAATAGACTGAGATAGATAGATAACAGAATTAGATAGATGAATAGATAGATCGATAGATATGAACACAATTAGATAGATAGATAGATAGATAGATAGATAGATAGATAGATAGATAGATAGATATGAACAGATAGATAGATAGATAGATAGATAGATAGTATGGGAGAATAATAACTATTTACGCTGTTTACTCGCGTTTTAACTTATTTTTGAGAACATACAAGAACATTAATATTAAATGTGAACCTCATTACCAAGATGCAAGTTCGCAATTTTAAAACTAAAGAGAGACGCCCTTCTTTAGGCAAAGTGGGGGCTGCAACGGCCATGGGCGTTTATAATACGTTTGAGTAGGAGAGGCAGCATGTCACGATTGTAGTTTTATGAATCGCTATGATCTGTGCATGTATTGTTGTTGAGCGCATCAGATCATGTGATGAAGACGCTTTCTTTTGTTATTAAAGAACAAGGTTAGTTTAGAATGCATGAAAAAGAGTTCTGTGCAAACGCACTTACACTTGCACGAACGCACGCACACACACGCGCGCGTACGCGCCACGGCAATTTGATAAAAAGGAGAAAGTTTTTTTTATTTAAAAAAAAAAAACCTTAGTGTCAAATCAATATAAAAAGTAATTTCTATTTAAAATCTATGCTATAATAAGATACAGTAAAATACAATTAGTGCCAACAAAGTACTCACATATATATATATATATATATATATATATATATATATATATATATATATATATATATATATATATTACGTAAAAGGCTCAAAAACTAATATTCCATGGTTAGAATTTATTACATTGAAATCGTAATCACGATACAATTCATCAGACCTACAATCTGTCCTGGACATTAAGTTCTACCTGGATTCTATCTTCTTGGAAAATATATATATATATATATATATATATATATATATATATATATATATATATATATATGTTGACCACTAATATTAACAATATATATATATATATGTTGACCACTAATATATATATATATATATATATATATATACATTTCATTGAATACGACAGACGAAGTGCTTTTATTTAGTTTTTTATACAATTTCTCATGCGATCTAATAATTTTTTTTTTTTCAGATGATAAATTTTAGAAAAACTGTCCGAATGTTCTTTTTTTCCGAGTGCTTTCGGTTTAGCCATACATTTAGCCATTTTCAAGGATGAAATATTTCAAAATGTCTAAATGTATAGCCGAAAGCGCTCGGATTAAAAGAACATTCGAACACTTTTTATACAATTTATCTTCTGAAAAAAAATAGATCGCATGAGAAATTGTATAAAAAACTAAATCAAAGCACCTTGTCTGTCGTATTCCATGAAATGTGCATGAAAAAAGGGTTGCTGTCTAAATATACAAATTATATATATATATATATATATAGATATAGATAGATAGATAGATAGATAGATAGATAGATAGATATGATGCGGAACAAATTGAAAAAATTGGAAATTTCATTTAAAACCTGAAGAACGGGGAAAACAACAAAAATATTTAAATGCTGAGTAATCTTTATATATATATATATATATATATATATATATATATACACAAAATTCTAACTGCCACATTTTTTAAAATAACTGAGACAGTGGAAAGTACATAAAAAACAATGACGCAATAATTCACGATTTCAAGAAGTATATTTAATACGAAACATATATATATATATATATATATATAATTGATATCATATTTTTTTTTACATTCACCTGACCCGAACACATTGAAAGTTAATTTTTCACAATTTCTCCCATTTCATTCAAAATTCCCTGTGAATTCCCTATTTTACGAATATCAAATATCAAATATCAAATATCAAAATAATCTAACATGATTTGTTTTCCCGCTTTTATTTCATCCCATTCTTGGTAAGTAAGACGCTTACATACACTAAAGATGATTGAAATATTCTAGAAAATGATTTCATTTCCGTCATAGCTTCCGATAGGTTGACGACATCATACATGTCAAATTCAGGGGTTCCTGTGGATATATCTTTTCAATTTTTTTTAATCATTTCACCCCAAGCAAAGAAGTAAAGCCACTAATATACAAGGGTTACTGAGTGTGAAAGAATAAGAAAAAGAAAGAAAACATTATTAAGAAGAGAGAACAATAAAAGAAGAGGAATTAAGAAGACATTAAGAAGACATTAAGAAGACACTGACATTGCATTTAAATTTTTGAAGATGAAAATTGCCTGGAAAGAAAGAAACCAGAATATAGTTCCACAGAAGAGCAGTGTGAGAAAAGAAATTGTTACTAACTGAAGCCACTTCAACCTTAAAATGATGAGACCTTGTTGCCAATCTAGTACTGCGCTAAAATGAATAAGGACTAAGTACAATACAGGAAAATATCAGAACAATTAGCATGAAAATATTTATAAAAAAGGCACAGGGAAGCTACATTATAACGGTGGAAAAGTGACTAAAGCCAGGATCCCAGGTCAACACCAATAAAATTGCAGAATCTTCTTTGGATTTTATCAAGAATCTCTAAATATTTAGCCGGAGCTGACCAGATGTGTCTCTTTTCTTGATATTATGGGAAAAAACAAAGCAATCAGCCAAGACCTCTGAAAGAAAAATATGTTGATTCATCAATCTATTACCAAATACTTGAAGGTAAGCCGTTTATCTGTATAAACAATGAGAAAGAGTTTTAACACTCTGAGATCATGTGACAGTCATCCCGCTCATAAGAGATAGCTGATGTCCCCCAGAGATAGACACACTTTAGTCTAAGAAGTGCATATCAATTCCGCAATAACATTAAATCAACTTGTGAAGAGAAGACACGTACAGAAGTATCGAGATGCCCAATAAAACAAGGATTATGTGAATATAACCTGACCGGTTGTTTCGCAAGGAAGAAATCAATGTTACAAAAACAGCATTCAGTTCCAGGTGACGGTTTACAGTTGCACATTTTTGGAGGAATTTCCCTTGGTCTGATGAAATGAAAATTAGTATTTGTCTAGCAGCATGGCCCGGCGTTGCCCGTACTTGATTCAAAAATCGTACGACTCATACAGCAATCGCTATCACTTGACTTAAAATATTTTTGCCTTTACTTGCCTTTAAAGGAGTGCCCTTTTCCGTGCTGATGTTGCTACATGCCTTACTTCTTGCCTATCTCACACTGCGAATTTTTTCTAAGCTCTATACTAAACATTAAATCTGTTACGAAAAAAGAACTAAAGAAAATGAACACAAAACGATCAGCTTTAAAAAAGGACTCGTAACTGGAAAAACCGAATGAAAAAAGAATGTTAACAACAAATACTTTTTCACATCCAACCCAGTTCTGCGGAATCAGAATCAACGTTGAGTTTAAGCAAGCGAATGAGCCAATTGGAGTAAAGTGCCATGCAGATTTAAATTTTTCCCACTTGTGACGAATACAGCTATCGATTTTTTTTTGCATGCTCGCATGCTAGTTAACATTCGTGGCAGCCAGCTATAGGCTCTCATTCTGGCCAGTAGAAAATGGTCGCAAATTACATGGAAACTGCCGTAGAAGCATGAAAAATCGATTATTTCCACTATTGATGGGAGTTGGGAAATGCAAAGTCGGTCTTGGCTTTCCCGCTAACTTGGAGCATGTGCATGTAAATTTTGATGCAAATCCATCGAAAATTGCGGCCGTGCATTCGTTACACCCCCCACACACACACACATCCTGTCTTTTATAGATAGAGATCCTCATAATGACTACCGTTATGTCTGAACGAAAAAAAAAGCGGGCAAGCTTTGAGACAGAGAAATTCGCAACACATCTGTAAAGAACTTAAGTGACAGCATCATTTTGTCGGAGTACTTTACTGCAGAAAGAACCAGTGCTCGAGACAAATTAGATGTCATCATGAAGAAGGAAAATGATTTGGATATTTTGAAGCAACATCTCAAGACAACAACCAGATCTTGGTCAAAAATTGATCTTTTAAATGGACAATAGCCCCAGGCATATTTCCAAATCTGAGGGAAAATAGCTTAAGGACTACAAAATTATGATATTGGAATGGACGTCTTGATGCCTTGACCCAAATCAAAGGGAAAAGATGTGGTCAAAAAAAAAAAAAAAAATTGTGTAAGCAAGGAAAACTACAAAACATGACCCAGTTAAAACAATTCTGTCTGGAGAAATGAATCCAACTTCCAGCGGGTTGATCTGGGATACTTTGGCAAGGTTATTCAAGAAATTTGATCCAAGTTAAATAATTTAAAGGCAATGGTACCTAATAGTAAATGTAAATATATTTTCTACTTTTGAATTATACAGTGTAACCCGGACAGAAGAGAAACCCGGATATAAGAGAGATTTTCTCTGGTCCCAAATTAGAGCCTGTGTTAATGTATATAAAATAGACCCAACCCGGATATAAGAGAAACCCGGATATAAGAGAGATTTTCTCTGGTCCCAAATTAGAGCCTGTGTTAATGTATATAAAATAGACCCAACCCGGATATAAGAGAAACCCGGATATAAAGAGATTTTCTCTGGTCCCAAATTAGAGCCTGTGTTAATGTATATAAATAGACCCAACCCGGATATAAAGAGAAACCCGGATATAAGAGAGATTTTCTCTGGTCCCAAATTAGAGCCTGTGTTAATGTATATAAAATAGACCCAACCCGGATATAAGAGAAACCCGGATATAAGAGAGATTTTCTCTGGTCCCAAATTAGAGCCTGTGTTAATGTATATAAAATAGACCAAACCCGGATATAAGAGAAACCCGGATATAAGAGAGATTTTCTCTGGTCCCAAATTAGAGCCTGTGTTAATGTATATAAAATAGACCAAACCCGGATATAAGAGAAACCCGGATATAAGAGACTTCTTCCCCGGTCCCGACAACTCTCTTACATCCGGGTTACACTGTATATGTATGTATGCATGCGCGCCCGTGCCCGTGTGTCTGTGTGTGCGTCAATATAATTTTATTCATTTTTTAATGCAATTTCTCTCCTGCTTTCATAGATGAGAACTAAATGGTTGGTTCATGACTATATTAAAAATTGTTTATAGTTGTTTTTAGCGTATCTTATCATACTCAAGAACAAAACAAATGTTCTTATTTGTCAGAGGAAGATGAAGGGAATTCGAACTAACCCCGTATTGGA